TGGGGGAAGAGGTGAAGACGGATCGCGTCATCTGGTACACCGTTAAGCTTGAATCCATTAGTAAGCTGCAAGAACCGAGAAAGGTGCACCCTCGCCTCTTCATCCTTGAGGCCATGAAACTGTATAGATGTTATTATCAGTTGAATCCATCATGGCTTGATCTCGATGTTATTAGCAGGAATGGGTGGATACTGGATGACTGGGCGGATGTCGGCGATTCCCGGATTATAGAAGTACTCCATGGTAGGACCCTGCGGAGGTGGTTGATGATGAGCATTCTCTGCTTTGGGGACTGCATTATTGGCCAGGACCTGATTCAGTGGGGGAACCTGGAGAGGCATCCCCAGAGGTGGGTTTTTCCCCAGGTTCCGGTTCATCATGTTCTGCTCGTCTCCCATATCGTACTCCTGCTTGAAGTCGCTGCTAAGATGGCCGTTGACTTGCACTTCCTCCGTAGCCAGTCTTGCTCGATGTTCCTTCCTAAGCTGGCGACAAGTACATTTTAGCTCCGAATCCAATGGTATTAATTATCCCGACTGGCTACGGGTCATGCATTACCTGCATACAGACTGCAAGCACAACCCGTGAAGGCTATCACGACCTTACTCTCAATCGTGAGGCCCTAGCTCTCAATTCCGTTAGAGCGCTAGGCAGCCTTCTCTCAAACTCACAAGCAAGCAAAGAACAAGGAAGCAAGAAAAAGAAGTGGGAGAACTCTCTAGTGTGTATTACTCTCAAAAATGATGGAATGAGTTACAAGTGAGGGAGATGGCACCTTATATAGGCCTCTCCTCATACAAGGTATCAATGCCCCTCATAATGGTCCATCTATATCAATACACCCATTAAGTCCCCCCATAATGCACTCTAATAATGCCACCCATAATGTGACCCATAAGTGCACCATTAAGCTCTCTATTAAGGTGGAGAATCCTAGGAGCATCTCTATGCTACTAGTCTTCCATACACGCCACATGCGCAGCTGCCATGTTGCCACCTTGTTGGCGCCGTGTCATCTGCCACATGTGACAAGGCACATAGGGGGAAAATGCATAAAATTAAATGCTAAAGTAATAGATGTTCACGTTTCTCCAATAACCTAGAGGGTTCCCCGTCAACGGCGCCAAAAACTTGACATGCTACGACACAACGCCAATCTACGACCAAGTATAATCGCAGAAAGGAAATGCAGAATATTGGAAAAGTCTAATTATCAACCCGGGCTCTAGATCTACTGCCTACTCAGTGAACTCCTGTTATCTAGCGGGAACAAGAGAGTGAAGTGTTTTCAGTGCAAAAGAAACAAGGAAACAAGTAATGGTCTGGTTCTTTCAAGTTCAAAAGGTCATCCGGATATGGATACCCCTAGTGTGTAGCTAGTTAGGTTATACGGTCCCAAATTACTCAGATTGATAGATAAACTGCGGAAAGTTCTTAACTGGTCTCGACTCTCAACTAAAGTGGTCCAGGCCCTCTTGATTCGAATACCCGGCGGGCGACTAACTTCCACTGGTATACTCTAACCAAGGATAATCATGCAAAACTTCCACTAAAGGCCTTATGTTCCAGAACGGAGCAGTGAATCAACTTCTCGACTAAAGCAATCGATTCACCACTTTCAATTAAAGGTTGCTCTTTTAACCTATGCAGAGACTATCGTTCTAGGTTAAATCTGGAATTACACAAGTTTGATCAGGACTCATGCAATTCTGAATAATTCCTCAACTGAATTTATCCAATCAACCATTAATAACATGGTTCATACAATCATTCCTAACATACACAGCTAGGGTTCTTCATAACCAGATGAAATGGAAGATTACTCCGTGGAGAGCTGTGAGAACGACATGCTCGGAGTAGACATCATCAAGGTGACAATGGAAGACTGCTCCTGAAGGGAAAAACATGTTAGAATATGTCAATATCACCTTCCTCAATGATTATTGGTACAAATGTGGTGGCTTATGAATCTCCTAAGTGTTCCTCAGTAAGTATTAACCTAGAGAAGTCTTTTCTAGAGTTGGTTGTAGATGTTGCTTCGCCTGGTTTGCCATCAGATGCTGACTTTCAGCAGGTGATAAATGGGTTGAGGCCACGTTGCTGGTCTCCTCTAGGTAGTCCCACGAGTGTTTTGCAAGCTTCTAATTCATCTTTTCATTTGCTAAGTGATTTGGGTGAAATGGATGAGGTCAGGCTGCAAGAAGCTCTAGTTAAGGGTGGAAAGAAGTAAGGGTGAAAGCCCTCGTCTCCATGAATATCCTATTCTGGAACGTTAGGGGGTTCAACAGACCTCCTAAGAGAAGGGACTTTCTGAGAGTTCTGAGTAAATTGAAGGTTGATGTGGTGGCTGTATTGGAAACTAGAGTTCAGAAAGCAAAGGCTGAGTGAGGGAGTAAGTCAACTACCGATTGCCTAAACCGAGAGGGTCGAGTGACACGGCCTATAATGTTTACCACGGTTTTGCAATTGAGATTGTGTTCTCCGACCATATATGCATCCCTCTGCGGTTCGCGGTTACCTTGCCTAAAGCAATCGTTCCAATTCACATACCATGGTAGTAGTTAAGGGGAAGCGACACCAGAGTGATCCTTCCACAAAAGAGTTTTCAAAACCATTTACCTTTGCCTTATTATTTTATTATAATTAGCAAACTCTTAAACCAAAACTTTGTTGCTAGATAATGATTAAAATGACTGAAGTAGGGGTAGACAGACCGACCTGGGTTGATATTTAAACATACTTATCCTATACTGCACCCGACAAAGGTTTATACTTGGACCTTAGGCGGGAATTTATTGTGGTATTCGGAGTGAGTAAACAACCTCCACCACTTCTCAATTTTCATATCCAAGCTCCCTCCTCCCCATCTCTCGATCTTCCTTCCTCCGACACCATCTTCTTCTCCGGCATCTGCAAGTCCAGCTTCGTGGCCAACAAAATATCCCACACTTGATTCTCTCGTCATACGCGCCTCCTCCCTTAACCCCGTCGGTGCCCTCTCCTCCCTCTTATCTGGTGGAGGGTTTGGTAGACCAATCAGCAGAGCGACGGTGGTGGATGGTTTTCAATCGGCGGAGGCAGCAAAATCTAAGCTGTGTCGCCAATCAAGCTCCTGCTCCAACTTGAGAATGGAAAGTTTAAGTGGCGGGAAGGGGAGGCGAGGCAAACAAGAATCCTACCAAGAGAGCCGAGGTGGAGGCCAAGTTCAAACTTATTTCCGAGACCTATGACGTCCTCAGTGAGGAAGCTCTGAAATAGGGGCTTTTCCCCAACCTTTCTCTACCTCTCCTTCCACCTCTGCAGCACCAAATCGCTATTATTATCTGCATCAGCACCCAATCATACCTTCAGGTTCAAGTCCAGGACCGTGGCCGATATTTATGAGGATGGGGCTGGCAGTGGCGAACCGATTGGAGGAGGGACGAGGCATCGGTTGCAGGGGTAACCGGTTGTTGATTTGCAAGAGGGAAGGTTTCGTCGATGCCCTTATAGAGGAAATCGATGGAGGAAGGCACAAAGGCGATACAAAACGCCAAAGAGGAGGAGGAAATAGATGGAGTTAGCTTGGCAATGATGTTGAGGCAGAGGGGGGTCTCGTTCTTCCCAACTGGGGATTGAGTCCGCTCTTGCTTCTAATATGTGGGTCAATGTTTCTATGTTTTTTGCTTGAAGAATGTTTTCTTCTTAGCAAACGTTTCGATTGTTGGACAGGGGAGGAGTTTTGGAGAGTACTGTCAAAAATCAAAGATGATTTCTTTCTTTCCGGTAGTAGATTGATGGAGGAGAATGGAAGGCATAATGGTTTTAAAAAAATGTGTAATTAATTTTATCCAATGTCACCAATTTGTTTGAGTCAGTTGCCACGTCAAAGTCAACTATCGGATTGATAGGATGGAAAATTGATCATTTGGCTAATAAATTATTTTAAAAAATATATTATTTTATTTAAAACGAAAAATTTGACTAATGAATTGTATTTCCTTTACCCCCTGTTTTTTAAGGGAGGAAAGGAGGGGGAAGGGAAAAGTAGGGAGGGAAATGATGCAATCGAGACACTTTCCCCCGTTTCCCAAATGAGGAACAGTATGGAAAGAGAAAGTTCAAGGGAAAATGTACTGTGCAACTGAACCCTCCAAATCGGAAAGAATCGGAAGGAAAATGGCAGTCTTTCTCTGCGGTCTCACATCTTACATCCTTTTATTATTTTTTTAATAACAAGATTTTATTGATGTTAGTCGTCTAGTGAAAGAAAGAAATAAAAGTCTATTGCTACTTTATAATTAACCACTTTGCATTTGTCTCTCACGCCTTTCTTTCATATATTCCTTTTGTTAGAGAAATTTATTTGTTTATTCTAAATTGTTTACTTAGATTTTTAACAGTATCAAACATTTTATACACAAAAAAAAACAATAATGAAGTGCTACATAATGATTTCAATTTCATAGAGCGCAACAATTGGTACTCATTTTTTGTTTCGTAAAGTGTTGAGTTCAATCTAGCAATAAGCACAACTTTCAATATGAGGTTTATTAACGTCTTGACACTTACAACGTTGTTTCACACGATATGTAAAACTTGTTACATGGAGATATAAAGCGTGTTAAGTTTCAAATAAAACGACGTCATATTGTAAAAAATTTATAGAATAGAATAGATATGATCAAAATTTATAAAAAAAATAAATCAAGTTAAAAAAAGAACATGTTCCATTGAAAAATGTTGAAAATGGTTACAATAAAGATTATGTAGAAGTTGATTATTCATGATATTCATTTCCACATATATTTTATATTCATTTCCATATATTTACTATTATATAACCAATAAAATAACATATCTATCACATTTTCCAATATACTTTTTCCTTCTACTTTTCCTTCATAAAACAACATTTTTCCTCCCTTTCAAAATTTCCCTCACCTCCCTTTTCCTCCTCTCCAAATTTTCCTTCCCCTCCCTTTTCCTTCCTTCTTTCGGCGGGGTTATGGGAAAAATTTGGCACATATTTCGTCAAACCAAATGTTCAAGAGTTGTCAATTCGTTCCCTGCCTATCACTATCTTACCCCAGCACACCAACAGTCCAACACTATCATTCAGCCACCGGTCTAATCCATTGGGAACACAAACACTGCACAGCTTCAGCTTTGCCCCTTTCTTTCTCCTTTTTAGCAATCCTAGAACTCCTTTTTCTTTCTTTTAGGCAAGACCGGAATACTAGAATCATGAAGAGAGGAATGAACTAATGAAACGAGAGTCTAGTCCGGACTCCAGAGGGTTCTTTGCATGCAAAAAAAAAAAAACTACAGAGAGTGTTGTAATTGATTGATATAGATATCCTACTGAGGTCTGAGGCTGGCCGACCTGAAGTGTCATCAATATATTTCTCATCAGACCAAACCAACCAGACAGTAAAATGCAACTGCAATGTTCTCAGATCACAACACTAGGAAGTGCTACCCATAACCAGAAGAGTAAAAGAAAACAAAAGACGGGGATATTAGCCCTAATAATCACTACTAAAAGAACTCGAAATCCAGATATTTACCCCCGGACTTCATCATGTCAGTCTGTTGCTGTTGTTGTTGACTTTGGCCCACCATTCTCTTACTGTTGCTACCAACCCCAACAGTGTTCACAGCACCATACTTCCCCGGCGGCAGCTCAGCCTCCATTGGTCTAGGCACTTCCGGCGGAGTGCTGCATCGTATGAGAGCCCAGTTCACGCCTTCAAAGAAAGGGTGCTGCTTGATCTCCGTCGCGCCTCTCTTCACTCCAAGCCTGTGCTGTGGTTCCTTCACCAGCAAGCCACGGATCAAATCCCGGCCTGCGTAGCTCGTTGCTGGGGCTTCCGGGAACTTCAGCTGCTGCCCGACCACATTGAACAGCGTTGCCCTGTTGCCTGACCCTTTGAATGGGGTTTTCCCATACAGCAGCTCATGGAGGAAGATGCCAAATGTCCACCAGTCAACAGCGCTGCCATGGCCTTCACCTTTAATTATTTCAGGGGCGAGGTATTCGTGGGTGCCAACGAATGACATGGAGCGGGCAGCAGTGGGTTCTGCAACCAGCTCAGGGAGAGCACAATAAGGCAGCCCGAGATCTGCCCTGGACTTTTGGCTTGTTTTCTTCTTGTTCTTCTGTGGGAAGAGACGAGGGATGAAGCAAGCTGGCTGAATGCAAACGGATGTTGGTTCGATGCAAGCTGCAGGCTGAACGCAGAATGCAGCACCACCGCCACGCTTTGATGGGTCCGAGTCGTTTGAAGTCCTTATCAAAGTGGGTGAAACTGTGCATCGAAGAGAGAGGTCAAAGTCTGAGAGCATAATGTGGCCGTCGTCACGAACAAGAACGTTTTCAGGTTTTAGATCCCTGTAGACTACTCCAAGCATGTGAAGATACTCCAATGCTAATAACACCTCTGCTGCATAGAATCTGCATGGCAGTACAAGGAAAGAGTACATGATAAGACAAAGTAGAAGATGATTTCTAGCAGAGATGGATCAAGCGTTGTGTTAAATAAATCCGAAATACTTCTATTCACAGACATCATTAATTTGAATATATATATATATAGTCTTCACAGCACACAATAGGGGCCCAGACATGAGAGATTATCTACTCTGCCTCGGAAAACAGAGGTGATAATAAGCGATTGACGCAAGGGGCAATAGTTTTAGTTGATCATCTCTGTGGGTGTCTTACACAGAGCAAAATTGATGAGATGAGAGAAGATCGTAGCAGAAGTGGACTGAATTTGGCGCAACTGGTTAGAAGAAGAGAACATATAGTGAGTTGCCTAAAAAGATTATCTTTCTTTCGGTAGAACAAACAGACTATCTTTGTTTCTTAAGCTCCGTTACTTAAAGGATCAATGTTTTTTGGCTCGGTACGTAAAGAATGACAATCTGATGATAAGAATCCCCGCGCACATTTTCTGTTACTGAACAGATCGTTAAAAGCTTTAGAATGAGAAGGCAGCAGGCAAGTGAAAAAGGAAGGACTGGAAAACCAACAGTAGAAACTCCACCAGGGGGCCGACAATCACCTAAATCTAATGCAAGATCATTCACCTGTCATTCAAGGAAATAGCACCCAACATAGCAGAGCTTAAAATAAATTCAGAAGAAGAACGTCTTGCTGTCTAAAAATGTGCGCTCAGAAAGAATCAAAAGAATGTACCAGCAGCACTATATGAAAAAGCAGTTCGTACCTTGCAGCATACTCAGAGAAATGCTTCCCAGGCTGGCGCTGCCTCAGAGTATGCAAATCGCCACCAGGACAGTATTCCATTACCAAACACGAGAATCTGTCTGTCTCGAAATGAGTATACAGCGTAGGTAGAAAGGGATGATCCAGAAGCTGAAGAATCTCCCTCTCCGTCTGAGCCCTGGTCAACTTCTTCCTGCTAGCGAGCGAAGCCTTGTCCATTACCTTCATCGCGAAATAACACCGGGTCCCACTGAGTTCTGACAGGTAGACGCTTCCAATGTCACCACAACCGAGCCGTTTAAGCAATCGAAAGTGGCTCATCCCCAAAATCCCATCACGAGCTCGGATTGCAAGAATAGCCTTCCACCTTGGATCATTGCCCTTGTGAGGCTTGTTCGCACTCCCAGTGATGTTGCTCCAGTTACTGTCATCACTAAGCCCACTGCTGCTATCACTGGCTCGACTAACACTAGTCTTGCCACTCTCAAGTGAATCGCCTCTTACACTGACACTCCCTTTGGTACTCTCGTAGTGTCTGTCGATACTCAGCATGCCATCGCTCGTCATGACATCACTTCTATATGTGCTGGCACAGCTATGAACAACGCTCATTGGACTGACATTGCCACTTGGAGGCAGAGAAGCATCCCATACGCATTCCTTCCCATCCAAATCATCAGGTGGCAAGGAAAGCAAGTCACTGGGTTCTTCATCCAAACTATCAGCCGGTGAAAGGATAGTGGAACTCGGTTTCTTAACCGGGACCCCGATTGAGAGATCTTCTATGTAAGGGCCCTTTACAGACATGCTCCTCATAAGACATCCGGTCTCAGATTTCTTCTGGCCAATGGGGACATAAACAGTTCTCATGAGATCGGTGTCGACTGGTTCTGCAGGATGACTAGCCCCAGAGAAAGAGCTAGATCCAGCTTCATCAAAGGAATCAACAATGGCCTTAGACATGACAACATTAGGAATTAGCTCTTCTTGGAGGGGAACGGAGTCTTTTCCTTTCCATTGTGGCCTTACAGGGACAGGAAAACCAGTGATGTGGGGTTCTTTGGAATTGAACCTTTCCACTGCTTCTCTAACCAAACCTACCTGCAGCTGAGGCAACTGATGACCCATTTGTTTCCCTGGACCCATGCATGCACCTACTGCTACTACCTTACTCCCAGCTTTAGATTCTGCAAACCTCTGCATTCCTCCTGCTAACTATGCAAACACAATCATGGAATGATCTTCCACTGGCATAAACCTGCAGAAGGGAGGCAGAAAGACAAAGGTTAAAATCGCAATCTCATGTTGGTGGGTCATCTTTTCTTGATCTCCATTACACAGCTGATATTCCCCACTATTCAAAGAGCAACATGTATGGTTTCTGCACCCAATAGATCAAACCAGACCGTCTTTTCCAACATTCAATTGAATTCTGTTTCTCATAAGTTTATTAGTCAAATTCCCAGGGCGAAAGTGACAAGTAAGGTAAAGCAAGATCCTTGATTTATCTAAGAATTCTGCGTTATTTTGGTGGAAGTGTGTGCAAAATTTCCAGCGCCCCACAAGCTGTAGCAGAAAAAGAATGAAGCAAGAAGGGTGACTGACAAAGTGACGATCCTGAAACTTGAGTTGCAATCAAGGGCAAGAGGAGGGAGGGAATGAGAAAAGAAGGCAGAGCAGAAGGAAAAGACAGTATTGCTGAACTCACCCCATTCCCATTGGCAAGCAAAAAAACCATGTTCAATGAGCTGAAAGTAGAATGGAAAGAGGGGGAAAACGGAAAACAACCCCCAGGGGAAGGACAGAGGTCCGAAAGAAAATCCTCCCACCACGTAAGTCGCGTTTGGGTTGGTGGTGTGAGATCTCGGAATCGCCCGCCACCAAATACCCTCCCTCAAAGCATAACAAACTCAGGTGCTAAAGCAAATGTCTACTAATATATATATATATATATATATATATATATTAGTCTTAAACGAGGAAGAAAGAAAAACATATTGATAATTTACTTTGAGTATAATAAACGAGAAGAAACAGAGGGAAGGAAGCGGATGCGCACCCAGCCAAAGGCAGAACCCACCACCACCAGCCACCAACAGAAACAAAACAAAATAACTCCAATCCGTACGGACAAATCCCCTGGAACCTAATCAACGAACGGACAGTCCCAGCTTCTTCTTCCTCTTTGCTTGATATGGGTGTGGAAGGCCAAGGAGGAGCTCCGCTGAGTGTTTCTCTGTCTAGAAAGTTGAGAGGGGAGAGAGAGAAGCCCGGCAATGCGAGCTGGATCCGCCTCAACCGTTCATTCCTTGTCTCTCTATTCCGAATGCTTTTTGTTGTTGTTGTTGTTGTTGTTGTTGGCTCTGGATTTTGCTTTTGGAAGAGGCGAGAGGGGCTCTGCTGCGGACTGCGAGCTAAAGCTAACAAAGACTACAGACAGCAGGTATGCAATTGTGGACTGGACGCTGCTGCAGACTGCAGTGGTTCCCTCCCCTCCCAATCCCTGGTTTTGGTAGCTTTCGCTTTTTCCTCTCCTCTCCTCTCCTCTTTTCCTTTTCCATTGTTTTCTTATTTAACTTTTGCTTTCTTTCTGTCAGGGTCTACTGCGGGCGGAAGATGATGAGGCGTGGGGTCCATTATTGTTCCTTCTTTATGCTACACTGCTTTTCAGAGTCGTTTGTGGGGGTAGGAGAAGGTGGGGACGCTCCTCCTCCCTGCTACTGCTACTACTACTACCTCCTCTCTCTCCTCTCTCTTCTTTTCTGCTTCCGTGGCATCAGCGTCAGTCAAACCAATTTCAAACAATTTCTTAAAACCTAAAATCTTCTACTCATTCTCGATGATACGCCTTCAAACCAGCTCATTTGTTCACCATCAGTTATATTCTACCTCAACTCAAGAAAATTTTATTTGAATCTAGCTCGTATAGCTTCAGTTTAGCTTTCTTCAACTTGTTAGTCATCTTGGTTATGTGGCATGTTGTGCTTAATTTATGATCTTTTCCAATTTGAACTTGTGAGCTGTGTTAATATTATATTATGGTGAGCAAGTCAAATCGACTATCTATCTATGAATGAATCGATCTATACCGTGACTTGGAGGACTAAACTAGATTTCCTGATTAGGGAACTTAGCTAGACTAGGATAGGTTCTCCTTATTGAGATTAGGGAACTAGGATAGATTTTCCTTATTGGATTAAGAATCAACTAGAAGGTTTTATTATAGTAAGATTTATGAATCCTAATTCCATAAAATCGCCCGAAATCGGTGATGGTACCCCTTTGGAATCTGTCAAAAATTGCCCCGGAAATTTTCCGCCCGAATCGGTGTTTAATAGACTTATTCATCCCTAAAAAATAGCCTCAGGCTGAATCCGGGATCTGCAACTTTCAAAATCTAGGAAAAATAAAAAATTACGAAAATACCCTCCAAAAAAATTCATAGTGTTATGATGACATAGTTTATTTTTTGCTTAAAGATAAGAGTTCATATTGTCTTATTGTTGGCATACCTATATCATATCACTATGATAAGACTTCATAATATCATCTCACTTCTGTCTTACCATGATATTATCACTATGATAAGACTAACATCACCATCATTCCATTTTCATATCATGGTGGGGTCATTTAGATTTGTGATTTGGTTGATAATATCATGATTACATGATATGATAGTGCGGTAAATCCTACCAGTGATAGACCCATGATTTTGGGTTAGGTGTGTCGGCCAATCAAAATAAAATAATTAATTAAATTAAACATAAATAAATTATTTATAAAGTTCACCATTTTCTTTATTTTTTACAATGAACCACGAAGAGTTTCATATTCTGGAAAATTTCTAAATTACATTTGTCCATTAGGTTGCAATTTGCAAATCAAATCTTTTTTATTTACACGACTAAACAATTATTCATAAATTGGTCCTTAAGCTTATATCAAAGATGGTTCTTGATTAAACTCATATATGGAAAACGTCATATTGTAGCTTGTAGTTGCAAGAGGTAAAGTCACCACTAATTTAAGATGGAAAAGCTGGTATGAGTGGCTGGAAGGATGAGCACATGCTTAGTTGAGCCCTTATATAGGATACAAAGGTTTGGGGCCAAAAATAACAAGGAAACCCGAGTCTTGGTTCCAAAATAATATAATCCGCAAAGAAAACATAAAACAACTCGGTGGCAGCAAACATCGAGTTCTTCTTGCCGAATCGATTCCACGATCAAGAAAGAAGAAGTTGGTGTATGAACACTCAATTCTAGGGTTTTGATTTCTGAATAAAACTGTTGATTATCCTCTAACAGACTTAGTTCGGCCCCTTATATAGGCTACAAAGGTTTTGAGCCAAACATAATAAGGAAACCCGAGTCTTGGTTCAAAAGTAACATAATCCGCAAAAGGAAACATAAAATAACTCGGCGGCAGCAGCCCTCGATACCCGCACTGCAGCTCAAACACCCAGTCTGGTTTTTGAGTGTCTCGCCCGGAAGGGGGTGGGGGATTCTGCTCGAGATTCCCCGGCCTTGGCTCTGATTCCCCGATCAGGGATTGTGTCTTTACGACCGGGGGGTGTTCAGGACGGGATCCCCAGTCTCGACCTCAATTCCCCAATTGGGTCCTTCTCCTCCACGACCGGAGATTTGGTCTGCATCAGCTCCAACTCGAATCGTCAACACTTCTCGTCCCATGAACAGCTCAACCTCCATATTTGTGAAGTTCTTGGACAAATAAGCTTGAAGTGGACCCTTGAACGCCTTGGTTTGACTTCTAGTGACCAGACCACATTCCTCTCGCATGAAAGTTGGACTTGTGACCGCCTTGGTGTTGATGCCCTCACAAAATCTTTTGTTATATAATGAGGTGTGTCGGTTATAATAATTGGAGGAGTTTAAGAGGTCCCGTGTTCGAATTTTTTACACTGAAAAAATGTTGGTTCCTCACAAAATTTTTGGATGAAAGTGTGTCGAGTTTGTTAAAGTTGGGTTCGCCCCTGAATCCTACCATAGTGCTAAACTGATTATATTAAGTGATAAGATGATAGCAAATATGTGTTTTTAAGGAAAACTTTATCTTTTGATTAAAACATTGAAAAATTGATATCATTGTCTAGATCATTGTTAATGAGTTCTTTCTATACAAATTTTTTAATATTTCGAGTTAAAACGAAGTATATATGTCATCATACCACCATCAAATCATGATCATAAAAAAATGATAATACTACAACCAACACATGTTTTGAATAGCTCATATTTTAGTTGCTTAAAGTATAAAAAATGATATCATTGTGTAGATCATAATTGATGTGTTCTTTCTATGCAAAGTTTTTAAATTCCAAGTTAAGCTAAGGAGATGCCACTCAATTAGCAAATGTTAGAGATTATAAAAAGTAGCATTTGACTGATTAGAAGTATTCTTTCTTCTGAATTTCGTATCAGTGAAAGAAAACAAAAAAGATAGCCAAAAGGATGCTTGAAATTACTAGTCCCCCTCTTTGGGCTCAAGATAGGGTGAGTAACCTTAGGGTGAGTAACAATGAGTAACCAAATCTGGACCCTTCTTTTAAGTGACTGCAGATCTAAGGGTGGAGAATTAAAGGAATTTATTTTTCCTAGTTTTCTTAATTGGATCATATCTTCTTCATTCTAACTCGGATTTCAATTTTTTTTGCACAGATGTAACGAGTTCGTTGTGCTCTACAAAATGATATCCATTTTCAATACTTTTTGAGGAAAAAAAATTCATCCCTCTCGTTACCAACTCCATACCATATGATATCTCCTTCGTTGTTTAGTCATTTTCGGAAATTTTTGCACCAAAGGAACGATTTAATCATGATCTATTGGATTTCAAAATTTTATGGGGGGGAAAATTTCAAACCTCTCGTTGCCAACTCCATACCATACTATACCAACCTGGTATAAGGTGGTATTTTTCATACCATATGGTATGGTGTTATTTAATACCATATGGTATAGTCAATACCATATGGTATAAACTGGTAATAACTAGCAAATTTTTTTTGTTCCAAAAAATATCAAAGTGGATATCATTTTGAAGATCACAATTAATCTGATCTAACTGTGCAAAAAAAAAATTAAATTCCGAGTTAAAACGAGTGAGAAATCATCCGTTAAAGATTAAGGGAAAGAAAATAAATGATTTTTCCAAGAGAGAGAAGGAGGGGCTGATGTGGCAGATTCTTATTTGGTTATACATGAGTTTACTCACCGCATCTGCTCCCCTCTTTGTTCTTTAATTAATTTTAGGTAATTGGAGACATATTGATGGATGGTTACAAATCTAGATTTTGTAGAATACAATTTAGTACACTATCCGTTTCCAATAAAGAATCATTAACCTCCACTACTACACGGGAATCACAATAATTTTAAAAACTTGCTTAATAATATAAAGGTACTAAATACAATTTATTAGTCAAAATTTTGGAACTTTTCATATTATTAGCCAAACCTTTAATCAATTTTTTTGTGAAGCGTCAAAATACTAGCCATTTTTTGGTTAGAGTTAATAATTTTGTGACTTTTTTCTTAGTTAAAATTTTCAAATGTTAACCACCATGTAAATCTTCCAACTCAGCATCATGTTGTCAAATCAACAAAATTATTAACATGAAGTTAACATTTGGTTAATATTTTCTATATCAAAAAATTTGACTAATAATTTGAAAGTTTTGGATAATAAATTTTATGGACCCATAATAGAATAATAAAACATGATTATCCTAATAAAAAAAGAAGCGAATAAGGTACAGAACCGGGAGCAGATCCGGCGAGTAACCTTGTGGTGAGTAACCTCATGCATAACTCAATAAGAATCTGCCACATCAGCGCCTCCTTCTCTCTCCTGCAATAATCATTAATTTTCTTTCCCTTAATATTTAACGGACAATTTCTCACTCGTTTTAACTCGGAATTTAATTATTTTTGCACAGTTAGATCAGATTAATTGTACTCTTCAAAATGATATCCACTTTGATATTTTTTGGAACAAAAAATATTTGCCAGTTATTACCAGTCTATACCATATGGTATTGACTGGTATTAAATAACAGCATACAATACCATATGCTGTTATTTAATACCAGTCAATACCATATGTTATTAAATAACAGCATACCATATGGTATGAAAAATACCACCTCATACCAGGGTGGTATAGTATGGTATGGAGTTGGTAACGAGAGGTTTGAAAATTTTTCCCCCATAAAATTTTGAAATCCAATAGATCATGATTAAATCGTTCCTTTTGTACAAAAATTTACGAAAATGACTAAACAACGAAGGAGATACCATATGGTATGGAGTTGGTAACGAGAGGGATGAAAAAAAATTTCTCAAAAAATATTGAAAATGGATATCATTTTGTAGAGCACAACGAACTCGTTCCATCTGTGAAAAAAATTTGAAATCTGAGTTAGAATGAAGAAGATATGATCAAATTAAGAAAATTAGGGAAAATAAATTATTTTAATTCTCCACCCTTAGATCTGCAGTCACTT